AACATTATGAACTATTTATAAATTAATATAAGAGAAATATATTACCAAGTAATATACACACAGATTGTGCTGTGCACATAAACCCGCGCGAGCCCAGGCACGTTCTCGCGAGCGAGCGGTACCGTTACCCTGGGTTCTTCCCATAAGCCCAGGTGACGCGTACTTCACGCAAAACACACCCTCCTTGAGGGTGAGTGGTTGGCGTCGGGCGGTGACCAAGGCCTGAACGAAACTCACCCCCGTCAAGGGACCCAAACGCGACCAGGGAAGAGGAAATGCGAGGGCTGAACGGTGCAACGCGCCAACGAGACCGGCAGAATAGAAAAAAGGTCAAAAGCAAAAGGTTCGGGCGATCACACAGTCGCTACATTTTCAATCGATTCTCGACGACGTGTCAGAATTGAACAACGCTCCAAAGACAGAACTCGTGTTTAGCTTTCGAAGCGCACACAACAATCATAACTCGACTTTAGTGGAACTCTCCGGACATTAGTTTATCTGGAGAGAGCGACGCGAAATATATATTGTAATATTTTCTGCGGCATCATTGATGAGTAAGAATTATTAGCCCTTTGCACTCCGTTGTCGCCGCCGTGGCGACGTTGTAAGTGGAACTAACAACTCCATTGTCGCTGCTGCGGCGACATTGTAAGATATGCCATAGCGACATAGAAGCAACCGTTTGTATGAAAAAGGTTAAATGTTCTTACATTTAAATTAAAATATTCTTCATTTTTTCATAGAGGCCTCTACTGTTACGTTCCTATGGACACTATCGGCCAAAAGTTTGGAATCTGTTGGATTATAAGGAGAAATGAGTATGTGTCTGTGTAATAGTAACAGCAAAAATAATCAACATACCTTTGTTTGATTGATTGCATAGCGACGTGCCTTCCTCGCGTATCAAAATAAAGAAGATTCATAATTAAAATAATATCTTTTAATTTATTACCATAATTCTAATAGAATTACTACGTAAAAAAAAGAGAAAGCTAGATTTTGAATCTTCCACAGAGGCGCATTCGCATCATTGTAAATAGTCTCGGAGTAGCTGGTAGCTATAGTAAAAATGATTCAGAGTTTCTGGTAGGTCATATTAAAAATTGCGACGAGTGCAAAGTGTTAGTGTAAGTTTACAGAGATTATGATGGAAATTATGATCGAAGAATGGAGATCGAATAAATTCTGGGGGATTTTCTGAATAACTGATGAATAACAATTGAATAATTTTTCGGTGTAATGTTATAGATCACGACTGGAGAATATGGATCCAATTTTAATTCGTATAATAAGATTGACGAATTAAATTTTAATAAGTCCAAAATAATGACAAATTTTATAGGTGTCTTGTGAAATATTCAATGGAAGTTTTAAGATTTCTATTTTGTGTAGAGTACTATAGATTGCTATTATGGGATTTCGAGAAGAATATTTTACATCAAACAATTCTAGATGCATCAATATTTAAATAATTTCTGATTCATCGCAGAGAATCCTGTAGGTCAGTTACAAAACAAATTCGAGGATTAAAGTTGCAATCGATCATATTTTTAGCCTGTAATTATAGTATCCTATCGCGTACACAATTAGATGAGTTATAAATTATGCATATAAATATCGCTTCCTGTCAGATCTGAAAATTGCACTTTCCTTATTCATCTCAGTTATTTGTGAAGTCGTAATTATAGAGAAGCACATGAATGATTCACAGCAGCTAATTAAGTCTTTTAAGCAATTCCAAAATTAAAACCAAATCACACAACTACATAAAAAAAAAAATTCTCTCCTACGTTTAAAATCAATTCTTCGACCAAATTTCAACGTACCACAAGACCAAACATACAAACACCATAAGAAAACTTAGAATAACCAATTATATCGACTAAATATTAACACAAATCCAAAATTCCAAAAAGTCTCACGATAAAACAAACAAAAATAGAATTTCCTCTTTGATCAAATTTCCGCGCGTCAAAGGCTCGACTTAGAAATCAGGTCACAAAGATTACCCTAACGTCTCCATACTCTTCGAAGCTCTATTTCCCTAGAACACCTCTTTCTCGAGCTTTTTTCGTCAGATGGAAAGTCACGTCGATGACAGTTTCGCTCCAATTAATATTCCGGAACGTCGTTCAGGAAATTCACCCTGCCCACGTGACGGTCGCATGACAATTTAGGTAATGTCAGCGTTGGAGAACGGTGCCAAAAAGCCACGGGAACGAGTACGGTTACCCGTTTCTCTTAACGAGCACGTTCGCGACGCCTATCTCCCAAAATTAACTTCTTCTTCACACCAGAAACGGTTTGTCACTGACAGAATCGCGATATACGAGCTGGATCGGTTAAAGGGGGATGCATTCGACCGTGCGTAAATCAGATCACGTGCACGTTTCACCGGTCTTTCGAATTTGCTAGTTGTTTTATCGATGTTTGTTAGAGATATTGTCTCGAATCGGTGTTTCCAAGAGGTGATGTTCGTATGCCAAAAAAGAATCTTGGATATCTATTCGCGAGTTCGCGCCACTTGGGAAAAGTTTCGTCGAAGACAAAAGTTTCCTGTAGACTCAACTGGGAGATTTATCGATACAGATTTGCGTTTTAATGTGTAATTTTGTTGGATGAGTAACGAGAGAAAAGGACGAGGTTGTTGTTGCTAGATTTAATATGGAAAAGTAGCGAGTAGTGAGTTCGCAAAAAATAAGTAATGAATAACACACAGGAAGTAGGTATACATTGAGTAGTGAGTAGTTAGGTAGGAATAGCGAGTAGCGAGGAAGAGTGAAGAGTAGATCGCAGTAAGAATAAAAAGTAAAGAATAGCGAGTGGAAGTGAAGTGTAGGTCACGCTATGTAAGAGTAGCGAGTAGAATTAACGAGTAGACAATGGCGACTGAGAGTAAAATGTTGCGAGTAAAAATAAGGAATAAAGGGCACTGATTAAATAGTAGGAAATAGCGGATAGTGTCACGCTATGTAAGAGTAGCGAGTAGAATTAACGAGTAGACAATGGCGACTGAGAGTAAAATGTTGCGAGTAAAAATAAGGAATAAAGGGCACTGATTAAATAGTAGGAAATAGCGAGTAACGAGTAGAATTAACGAGTAGATAATAGCGACTGAGAGTAAAGAGTAAAATGTAACGAGTAAGAGTAGGGAATAGCGAGTAACGAGTAGAATTAACGAGTAGATAATAGCGACTGAGAGTAAAGAGTAAAATGTAACGAGTAAGAGTAGGGAATAGCGAGTAACGAGTAAAATTAACGAGTAGATAATAGCGACTGAGAGTAAAGAGTAAAATGTAATTAGTAAAGGGCAGAGAGTATAGAGCAGAAAGTAGCGAATAGTGAATAGCGAGTAGCGAGTAGCAAATATTGAATAACAAATAACAACGATTACTAATTAATGGCTAATTAACAACGAGCAGTGAATAATAAGTACCGAATAAATGCTAGCAAGCGATAAACCTCAAATAACAAGCATACCGCAACAATCGATAAGTATCAAATAACCAATTGCAAATAGTCTCGATGAGTAGTAACTATCCAACAAAGGCCGAACAAACCGTTTGAAATAAACTACTCGAACAAGGAAATCCTTCAAAGAGCAGAACACTTGGGCATCCAACGAATAACTCATTCAGCGGCTCTTCCTTCCAAATGAACTGCGTATCGGGCGTCTAATTTAGCCACCGAAACGCCCAAAACGATGGCCATGTGCAACGACTGGAATTTCATCGGAAGATGTTACCATTTAAAATTAGCATCGAAACGCGAAAGATTTACTCGTATCGGTTCAAATGAACCTTCGATCTCGCGTATTCGCGTATTTTCTCTGTTAGATCGACACGTATTTCTTTGAAACGGAACGTTCCACGAAAGAACGTAACTCCTATTCAACCTATCGCCGTTTCTACCGCACTTACACTCCCTTACGATTCCTCGCGAATTCTTACGCGATTAGGCTACTTGCTATTAATAAAATGGAACAAGTTTCTATGACACAAATGGTGAGACACCGAAATGTATATACATAGGTTTGGAATGGCGAATTAGCCGTATGTCTAAGTATGCGCAGCATTCATTTTAAATGTAATTAGTACATGTAATTACGTGATTAATATGGATTTCACGATTTGTCCTATACTTCTAAATTTAGTTTTTTAGATTTAAAAATTTTCCCTGATAACTTCGCACAAATTTCAAATGATCCTACCAACGATCATTCTCCTCTTGTCCAATCTTAAAAGCAAGAAATACTTCCCTAATCAAAATACCTTTCCTGGTGAAAACCATCACTCTCCCCCTTCGTCTATTCTTATCCCTATTATCTCTGACAACAATCGAGGCGTTGAGGATAGAAAGGGTAAACTGAACATTCCGGACAAACTTAGGTTTAAGCTGTAATTTTAGCAATAATTAAATTCACGTTTCATTCTCAAGAATTGCTATTTGTCAGTTCGCTCTTTATACTTTCTACGCCTCGATTAGGCGTTATTCGAATGAAATCTTATTTAAATAAAATTTCAAATGGAACTTTATTCGAATAAGATTTCATTCGATTTAATTTAAATTTAAATAACATTTCATTCGAATAGTGGCGAAATTTGTAAAAACAAAACTCTACTAAAATTTCGAACAATCTTCGACTAAAAGTCGCGACGAAAATCAAGTTATTTCCCTCAATTACTCAGCTTCGGGAATTCCCATCGACGTCTCGTTTTCACTCCAAACAAACCGCGCGAATTCCAGAAACCCTCGAGAATCGGGGAAGAGATCCGCGCGACGGTTAATGAATGAACACGGTGGTCGTGTAAAAGGGTGGACGCAGCGGAAGAATTATCATTTCCGGTGCTGGCAGCGGCTGGCGCGGCGCGGATCCGCGCGGAATTGGCTCGTAAACGCGGCAAATATTTCGCCCGGCGGAATTTCACTTGGTGGGAGCGTTTTTGACGTAGCTGGCGTCTTATAAAAAGACGCGCGGCGTCGCGACGCTGCATTCACACGAGAGAGACGAGACGTCGCGGTGATAAAGTAGTATCGAAAAGTATCCCGAACGAAATTTCCCTCTCGACAATAGTAATCTACCGAACAGTATTAATTAGTTATTTAAATCGTTCTTCCACAAATCTCTCTCTTCTGTTCTTCGTTTTTACTCGACGATTTTTGACTTTGTCGTTTTTTTAAATTAAATTGTAAGAATACACACGGTGAAGAGATGTCTTCGGTGATGTATGTGAGTATCCTCTTGAAGATAGTGCTTCATTTAAATTGAACGGAGTGTGCATGTTGTTGTTAGGTGTGTGGCAGGTTTACTCAGCCTTGACAATGAACTCGTTTGGTCTGGCTGCTCGAAACAAGACTATTCTACTGAATCACCAGGTGTATCCAGAGATCCTTTTATTCCAGATTCCGAGTGAATCTTTCGTGCTTTAGTTTCTGACGAATTTGTCGAATATCGATGGAGTCTTCAGTGCGTCAAATTTTCAGGAAAAATTGAAGTTTGCTTCTTGTGCAATCTTCGTTGCCAATATAATGCATTTCTTTTATGTCTGATTTTCTGTCGTTGCACTACTTTGTCGTAGAATATTGGAAACTCTTTTTATCACATTGGTGTGATTTTTACGAAGTCTAATTTTTCTTAACAACTATAATTTTACTGAAAATTTTCTTCTCTAGTACTCTGTAATTATTAGCGTAAAACGTGACAAAGCTGTAAGGAAGTATTTACCAGTGTCCAGATGAGCTTAAGAAAGGTGATTCTTAAGTGAAAATTGTGAATATTTAAAATTGCAAAGAAGAAAGAGTTAATTGTAGATATTGAAAATTTCAAAGAAGCTTTTACAAGTGAAAAATCGTGAAATTTAAACGACCGAAAAAAAAAAATGCATTTCTCAATTTCCTATAAAGCAGTAAAAACTCCAACGACAATTTTCTTCCACTAGGCGAATTCGCAACGCTGTTGGAATTTATTCCCGTGCAAACAGCCAGATAAATTCCCGCCGCAAGGCGAAATCAGAAGTCAATGTATTCATTAAGCACCGTTGAAGTAATTGATACGCGGTCGTGTGATCATTTTTCGCGATTCAAGAAAACGACACGTTTCACGTGCAGAGCGTGTGCGACGCGAGAATTTGTCAGGATGCCATCTAGGTGTCTTTTATGGCCAGGGCCGCTCTTTAAATGGTCCAACTTGGCCAACGTCCAACATTCCTCCTCCCAACCACGCTGATTAGGCGACACTGTTGTCTTTTTAATACTTGAACCGTACAATAAATTTCTAGAATTAACCCGCAACGAAAATTTCCAATTAGTGCAATTTTCTGAACCTCTAAACGGTGTTTTTAAGTAGAACAGCTTCGAAATTGACGCGCCGAAAGTGTTTTAAAATTCAAACCACTTTTCGATCTAAATATCTTCGAAATTTCTATACCACAAATTTCTCAACTTCTTTCATTCACCATTTCAAACCATAAAATCTCTATTTTTATCATCTTTCAACAAACTTCATATTTTTTGCACCCAATCATCGTTATCTGTTTTCTCGATGCTTCTAACTCGAGCTAGTTCACGCCCAGCTAATCACAATATTCATCTCGTTGATCTTCTCGATGAAACAGCGAGAAGCATCGAAAGTTCAAATGTTATCCCAAGTGACTGTAAATACACGAGAGAAGGACGTATCCGCGAGCTGCTTTCACGATTACGCGCGGCGAATGCTTTCTCAGCCAGATCACCCGGGGATTAGAAGCCCCGACGCTGCTTCCAACAGTGCGATGTTAGTTCTCGCTCGACTGAGCTGCGTTTCCTCGGCAGTCGTGCTTCTTCTTGCTCGTTAACAACTTCAAATACACTCCGTGATACGTCGTGACAAAGGTGTTTTCGTTTGTTCAATTCGTAGTTTCCTATAACACTCGAATTTTCCTCGACGCAATTTGTGCAACGAATGCGAGAAAGATGTACACATTATGTAATAATTCCGTAACGCGACTGAAATTGCACTCGTTTAAATTTTAACTTCTTCGCCTTCGTGAAAGGAAGGAAAGAAATCTATCGAGTGAACGTGACATTAATTTGATCGAATATTACGTTATAATTTTGGTATGCAAAAGTGCTCGAAACGTGACTAAATTCAATTTTTTTTCTTCATTTTGCTAAGAATTATGAAATTTTTAGAGCGAAGCTGACTAATTTTGTCGAATATTTGCGTGATAATTGTGGCGTGCTCGAAACGTGACTGACAATGCATTCCTTTGTTTTTATCAAAATTACGAAATGTAATTAGAGTGAACGTGGCTATTTTTGCTGAATATTGCGAATGTTTCGTAGAGATACGTCGACGTAATTTACGGTTAATTACAATTCAAACGATTCTATGCCTCAGGATTCGCTCAGTGACAAAGTGGCGATGTTTGACCAGTACGCGAACAAGCACAAAGACCAGCAGAGCAAAAATCCGTTCACATCTGGCTTGAATACCGAGAAGAGAAAATTCTCCAAGGAGGAATATGGCAGGTGAGAGAAAATGTCGCTTACAAATTAACCACCAGAGGAAATATCAACGAAATTGAAGTTTTCAAGAAAGAGAAATACTCGAAATTACTGAAATTATTAAAAATAACTTCGAACGAAAATTATTTCGCATAAAAATTATCGAAATTATCGCGAATAAGAATTATGCAAACCTTCAGAACGAATAGAAAAATAATACAGCTACATGAATCAATTGAAACGGTGAAATATTCCGGCGTTAATAAAATTAACGAACGTATGGTTAATTTCAGACCGAAAGCTGGCTCCCTGACAGACATTCGCGGCCGCAAAGCCACGGCACACATTCTCAAAGAGGTGCTCGAACTCTGCGAGATCATTTATCAAGAGGGCACACCATGCCGGGACCAACCAGAGATCACCGCGATCACGTTCGGTGATCTGTTCAATATTTACACTCACATCAGCGACAAATGTGTGGGGCTGTTGCTGAGAGCGAGGAAACAAAAGTTCGTCGAATTCGAGGGTGAAGTTCTGTTTCAGGTATTTCACGTCAATTTCACTGTTATTGTTACTTTCAAACGCTTACAACCAGCGAGAGATAGATGAAAGTGAAACTGTGACGAATAATGGCTGAACGATGATGGTCCTTAGATCATCTTTATTTCGTTCAAATTAGTTATTACAGTCGTTTCGTCGAGTTTAATTGAAATGTCCTTTTAAAGGAAACGAGTAAGAAATTCTACAAACTGATCGATGATTCACTTCGGTAGAATTAACGAGAAGATTGAATCGGTCGGTAAAGTAGATTCACAGACGAAATTTAGCTCTGTGTCTACTATCTATGTTTCAGACATTTCAAAACTTAAAAATTTTCTTTTCTTTTGCAAATGAAAAAGATATATGCGTACACAAATTCTTCATATAAGTGTTGATACTTTTTCGAAGCACTCTGCATTGAAGAATTGTAATTATCTTAATCAATTATTGTTAATTTATTACAGAGGCGAGATGATAACGTGCCGATCTACCTGGTGAAGCCTGTCAGCGAAATTCGCGAATTGTTCAACCAAAGACTACAGGAGATCGCGAAGGAGACACCGTTAAGTTAACAACAACCTCCATCTTCGATCTTCTTGTTCTCCGATAAACGATTCCATATTGGAGAACATCCGGTTGAAAGCGTTATCCTGTATTTATTTATGACACACAGCCGTGGAATCATAACGAACGACCATTGTATAGTTTGTAATTTTTATTCGAGGTATGAGTGACACGAGCGAGTGATTATCATCGAAGAATGTTCCGATGTGGATGAAAGCAATGAGAAGCAAATATGTACAATGTGATATCTCTATAGGATATAGGAAATAAAGAGATTTTTGTAAAATATTCTCTGTTTTACTTTTTCTACCTAAAACGTTCCAATTTTTCATGTCAATTGCAGTAAAATTGTTTTTTTTTTCTTTTTTTTTTAATAAATTGCGAATGGTAAGTTTTACAAAATGGACGATTTCTTGCGAAGAAAGAAAAATTCGGAGGATTTGAAATTTCTCAAAAATTCTGAACGACGACTCTCGACGAATCGCTGAAAATGTCAGTTAAATTTCTATTCTACCGACACGAGACACCAGTTTTTGATAAATTGAAGTAGACTGAATTATTTCCAAACCTTTATTCGTACAGAAATGTTCACGTACATTGAAAAACAACGCAAAGTATGCCATCGTTCACGAAAGAAAGTAACGAAGTTCCTCGATCGGACGATTCGAGCGAGAACGATTAGAGAACGTCCTTTGGACAACCAATATGGCGTCCAGTTCGCCAACAACTCCTCCATTATCCTCAGATCGCTTTCCATTTAATAACAATAAATCGTAACAATATCCTTAACTTACTGTACAGTAGATTTAACAAGAGTCCTTTTAATCGATCTTTTTTAACAGTAGAATTAGTAAAAGATTTACGCTTAAAGCTTTAAGCATCTACTAGTTAGAAGATATGTTTAAAAAGTGTTAATAATTAACGATATTTAGAAGATATTTAGAGAAAGACGGAGTTTAAAAAGTGTCGAATTAGAGAATTCAAAATTAAAACGACATCGTTGCACGTTTCGTTAATTTTTCTCTTATCGATGACTCCAAGTTCCTCAAGATCTTCATGCATTATGCTACCAGCCAAAAATGGGAAATTACACGATCTCATCGTGATACTTTAAATTTACTCTTTGGCAAATTCTAGCTATTTCTTGTTCAGAAGATCCTTCAGAATTTTCAAAATTCCCACGCAACGCGGTTAATTCGAAATTTTAACGAACCAATCTACCATTCTTCTCAAAAATTTCACTGTTTACCGTTTAATTTTCTAATACTAGTCGAAACGACGTACTTTCACCAGGCTCAATCTCGGCCAGTGGAATTCGCAGCAAAATCTCCGATAAGAAGTTACCGATCACAGTCTTCCTGGCGCGGACGAGTGAAAGTGAAACCGATTGGAATCTTCACGCTCGAGAGTTTTCACACCCAGGTTGATCGCCGCCATCGTGACTCACGCGGAATACAACATACGAAACGGAAGGAAGGAATCCAACGTTGTCTCTGAACGAGAGAAAAGTGAATGGAAGTGTTTAAGCAGCTTCTCTCCATCGGTAGCCCCGATCGTAAGAAACAGGCAATCGATCGGCGAAGAAGAAGAGTGATAAAAAATTGAAGGGGGTGGGTAAGATAAGAAGGAATAAAAGAAAGATAATGTTTCCTAAGAATATTCACAGAAAAAGTATTCACAGGCAGTTAAATTCCATCTTAATTAAACGTTAAAAACCAAGAAACTCCAAACGAAGGAAACGAAGGTGATTAAAAAAAAAAAATAAACGTAAAAGTAAATAAATAAGAGAAGAGCACAGAGGTCCGGCTATTGTCGATTCGAATCCTTCTCGCTCGAGAGGCGTCCTAGTTATTATTATTCGGCTGAATCGAAAAATCGCCTGTGCGCTTTCTTCACGAAGAAAAAAAAAATATGTATATATATATTTAATGTCTCTTAATCATAATCAATTTCTCATTTTAAACATCGCGCGTGTAACGTAATCTCATTTTGCTTCTTTGTTTTTTTTTTTCTTTTCTCTCTTAATATGTACAATGTGGTTAAAATCTCGCGAGCTTCGTCGATTGATTTTTTTCCTCGCATCTTTTGCTTGTTTGTTTTTTTCTTCCGTCTCTTAAATTAGCGGCGTAAGTTTCGCGAGCGATTTTTCCCCGAGGCTTCCGACGATCACCTCTGACTCAAATTACCTCTTGTTCGAACTTACAACGTTAAACGACGAAACGGCCGGAAGCCTCGTTTTGAAAGTTACGTCACCGATCAGAATACACTTCATTTTTTCCCCGTTTTCTTATTCTTTTAAACATTCGTCCTACAAACAGTGTACCACTCGATCCGACGACAAAAGGGAGGCAACGCTTCTTCCAACTCTTTCACCGCGCTTTCTTCTTCACCGTTTCCGCCGCTGGTTCTCCGCCGTCGTCGTCCTCGTCCCTCCTCCGGAGCCTCGAATCTTCCGAACTTCCACTTCTCTCTCTTCGCTTCTCGCGTCGACGTTTCCTTCAGTTTCTCTCTTTCTCTCTCTTCGGAAGTCGACGGTCGTAACGAAACAGCGTCCTCCAGGCTGGCAGAAATTTGGCCGACGGTGTGTAATCTCGCGTTCCAGAGGCTGTTCCTTCGGTGGCACGTCGATTGGAACGTACAGTGGTTACTGGAGAGTTTCTTCAAACGGGGGAACCCTGAGTATACGATATTCAAGGGGAGATCTTTCGAGATAATACAGAGCGTTTCTTTCTTTCGGAATAGAAAATATAAAGTATCCAGTTAGAACAGTTAGAGTTGTTAGAAAGAAAGAATAAAATGTGGAGGAGATTAGAAGAGAAGAATTGGTAGAAGTTCAGATAGAGACAGAGACAGACAGGAAGAGAAAGTGGTAGAAAGAAGAAGAAGAAAGAAGAAACTCAAAGAAGAGAGACAGACGGACAAATAGCGAAAGTAATTAGTTAGAGATTAAGAGATTAGCTCGAAAAAAATAGAATGTCAATCGAAAAGAGAACTCTAATCAAAAAGTAAAACTCTATCAAAAAGAAAATTACGTAGAATTAAATCAACGAAAGATCTAAAATAGTCTTGTAACAACTATATTCATTTCATCCATTTTCCTTCTTTCCTTTCCGTCGTTCGTACATCATCCGGTACGTCGTTATTCTCCTTCAATTTCTTTTTACTTTCGAAATCTCCACCCAAGATCGTTCACTTCCATCGCTGTGTTTCCTCTTTCACCAAAAGTGGCTCGTTTCCGGTCCACGCAGACGACGAAACGGAAGAGCAGCGGCAGTGCGTGGTGCGTGAATTAGCCAGCTAGGAAATCAAGGGGACGTGGAACACGATTCAAGGGAGGGAGGAGGGGCGATCTATCGTCGTCGTCACCCCTCTTATCCATCATTCACGACGTCCATTTCTACGAAATCGCGAACGTCGAAATTCTCGAATCTCTCTACTTGGAAAAAAAAAAAAGAAGAAGAAAATCATCGTTCTTTCGTTTTCTCACACGTTATTCTACTCGCGCGGAAATCTGCGTTCCCGCGACAGTCTCTTCCGTCGTTTCGCTCCTGGTTTCTCCTACTATTCTCGTTACGTTATTATTATTATAATTATTATTATCATCGTTACACTGTTATCTGAATTATTTCTTGTAATTTTTTTGTTTTTTCCTTTGTTCTCTGCTGTTGGATCTCTGTTTCTCGTGGCTCGTTCTCGTTTGTGCCCGACAAAGAAGAGGATCTCTCTCTCTAGTTTTGCGCAAGTGCTCGAGGCAAGCCTTAAGCCCACTTGTCGACGACCGCTTCGTTTACTGTAACATAACACAGGCAGAAGCAATATTAAATTTCGATCCAATCGTCTATCGACAATCTTCTGGTTTTCTTCTTCTACAGCGTTCTTTCTACGTTTCTTCGAGGATCTCCCGCTTAGACCAAGCTGCTCCGATTAGACGTCCGCTTTTCTGTTTTTTTTTTGTTTTTTTTTTTTGTGGACCATCTCGAGACATTCGAGATTTGTGCGTTTTATACCATTTTCGATTGTACTTCTTTTTTTTTTCTTTCTTTCTAGATCTCGTTTTCACTGCGTGCGCGTGTCTGGATGTCGTGTGCCCTCTCCCTCCCTCCCAGTGTCGTCTCCTCGAATCACACGCTGAACACGCCCTTCTAGCAGGGCGCAGTTTCACTATCAATTGAGCATTGTATCGGTGGAACGAGTATAGCGAGGCGTTTTCAAATTGTTCTACACAGAAGCGTTTTTTCTCAGATGCACCTGTTTTTTCTTTTTCAATTATATTTGTAATATTCGAACTAGAACATTTCTCCTCTCCCTCCTTTCTCGCGTCGATCTCGTTTGTTACCATCGTCATTCTTTCTTTTTTTTTTGTATTTTCCGTATTATTCTAGTCTTTTATTTTTTTGTTTGAGATACTTAAATACACTTATCCCTCCGGCGAGAGAACGACGTGCAACGCGCCTCGTCTTTTTCTATTTGAACAAATGGACTAAAGAGAAAAAGAAAAGTAGCCCCGAAGGGAAAATCGTCGTGAACACAAAAAGAACACCCGTGGAACCGTCGAGACGATACTTTTATACACCCGGTTCGATATCTTCGATCGAGGAAATTCCAAATATTCACTATACTCGTTCCACCGAGATTATACACTCGAACCTTCGAGGAAGAAATACAAGCGCGCCCCAAAAATCATCGAATTTTCGTCATTCTGTTCCTTTTCCCTTACGTGTTGTACGCATCCTGGTTATTATACTCTCTCGTGTATAATTCGTGTACGACTGTGTCTAAAAGTGTGTTTCAAGTGTTGCTCTTGAATGTGTAACAGTGTTGTCCCGTGTCGGTCTCTCTCGGATCTCGATCCCATCGGTCAGCTTGCGGGTTCTTGTTGTTGATTGGGTGGGTGTTGTTTAAGTGCCATTTTAGTTTGTATATTTTTTTTTTCCGACGATTTTCTCTGTGTTTCCGGACTGGTGTCGATTTTTGCGTCCTATCGCGTTCCCGAGCTTTATTTCACCGGCTTCACTGGCGGTGCCACTGCAAGCATATCACACGTAATCACGATTAATTCAAGAGCGAAATTTTGCCCCGGAGAAAAAAAATCTGACGTGCCAGGAGGACATTTTTTTAACGTATTGTATCGTCGACGTGTGTCTTCCTTTTTTTTTTTCTTTTGTGGGAGTCGTGTTGTAAAAGGTTTCTGGTCCGTGGCGTCATCCTCGGTTTCGACTCGAAAAGTGATTCCGGCAGATCGTCTAATCGGAATACTTCTTTCCTTTCAATGGAGATTTCGTTCGTTTTCCTATTAACGCGTTGCGTACGAATTTTGCGTGAATTTTCTTCGATACTTCTATCGTGGAATATCGCAATTAGACTTTTGTGAAATACTGACCATTTTAAGTTTATTTGCTTTATTAAGTCCAAGAGTGGCTTTGCAAACGGCGGAAAAATTGAAGATCGAGTGAAAGATATTAACTGAAAATTTTGCCTTTTTTAAATTCTTAATTCCTCAATTTTTATTAACAAAAAAAAAAGAATTCAAGGAGTACTGTGTTAAACTTATAAAAAAATAAATAAAATACTTCGCACTCCGTACGCAACGCGTGAAACGAAGAATTTCGCATCTACTGAAGCTTCACTCAAAAGTCAATCACGGGATAGCAAAAATTGGAAAACTACTTTGGAGTAGAAGCAAACTAACTACAAATTACAAATTCGCTCTCGTCCAAGTCTTTTCTCACTGTCGCAGTAATTGTCGCAAATCATCGTGTCTAGTATCGTAATGTTCTCTAAGGGGGGCAAATTCGCGGGGGCAAGGGGTAGGCACAATAATAAGAATAAGAATAATAAATATGAAAATGAACCAATATGGAAAAGAAACATTTGGAAAAATAAAAATTGTTACCTGAATGGTCCACGATTTGGATTGGAACGAACGTCTCCTCCACCTTTTTGTTCCGTGACTGAATTGTTTTCACACACCAGCAGGCAGGAGTTAGCAAAAAAAAAGTGTGTCGGGGACAACTTCTTCGATTAGGAATACAGTTGTTTTTTTTTTTTTTTTTTTGGTTGTGTTGGTCGTTTCAGGCCAACGCGACAATGATAGTATTTTGTATTTTATTACATTTTTTTTTCTCGTTCATTTTGATCGATCCAGAGGATTGCATGCAGAAAATTCAAACAACAACTCCGGGGAGACACAAAATGGCCGTGATCGTGATGATGGTGTATTTACTCCACTTCCGGCTCCTTGGTTGGCGAGATCTCCATTCTAGAAGATTCTTTGCGCGTCGATGGATGATGATCGAGGTCCTCGATGAATTTGTGATTAAGATTTCATCGGTGGTTAAAAGTGATAGAGTTCTCTGAGTGTTTGTCACACTTTTATCAGAGTTTTTCAGTAGTTTAATTTGGAAATTGGGAAATTAGGACAAAGACTTCGAATTAAAACAGAGAATTACAGTAACAAAAGTTCCCAGTTTCAAATTTCAAAAATTTCTTTTTTCCACTTTTCAATATTTCAGAAATTAATTGTCACTCAACAAAGTTACCAACTGACGAAATTATCTAGTTTTCCTTTTTACCGCCTTCCGGTAAAAAGGAAATTATTATCGTAATAAAAGTTGATAAAATAGTAATTAAATTATTATCAATACAAATTATTGAAGTCAGAGTCTGAGAATTTTCGTTGAACACTGTACACGAAAAAGAGAGTTCAACGCACGTTCAAAGATCTCGGCCAATTTTAACCAGAGAATGGTGATCGCAGTACAGTAAGGGGTAAAACGACAGATGTAAAAAGGAGGGAAAGTTGGACGAGTGAGAATGAAATTTGTGAGAAAATCGTGGGGGATCGGAAACAAACTCTGGATAGCTAAACACTTATTACAGTTCACATTGTATTAAGTGTTCGATGTTCGTACACGCGGCAGATGCCACTCTTTCGAGCGAGATAACCGTACTCTGTCGAGCGACTTCTAACTCGTGCTAGTAAGTAGGCCGATCGTTGAAACTTCGAACACGCATTAGTAACACATCATTCCATATTTCTTTCTTTCTTTTTTTCAATTCTTTCGTTTTATTGTAACAAGTAACGCACTAAAGGTCGGACCGTCGCTAATCGTCGTATCGAGATAAATCGTAGTTAGCCGCGAGGCGATATATTATACTTTCACTCGTTATAATTCTCCTTTCGATTTTTCAATACGAATTTTTACGCGTATCTCTGTGTGTTTCTGTGAATGCATTAACACCGGCGAAATGTACATACCGACAATGTGTACACTGCCCGGGAAATACATACATTACCAAAAGAATAAAAAAAATGATATCTTCATTTCCTACCTTATCTTTATAATTTTGATTTTCTTAATTTTTCCCACAGTAAATTTGTTCGTTCGTATTCTTTGCTATTCTTCTAAAGTATGCATTGACAAAAAGAAAATGAGTTCCTTATTTTTTGCCTTATTCCTATAATTTTGATTTTTCTATTTTTTTTTTAATTTTTCCCAAAGAAACTTTGTTCTAAAGTATTTTCTTATAATTTTAATAAACGTTCAATGACTGAAAAGAGAATCTCTAATTCGAATTAATATGTTAATACTTTGCCCAAAACTGTGTCGAAAATGTGTACAATATTGAGACAAAGCACGAAATCATATTTTTAACTCAAAAAAAAAAAAAAAGAAAAAATCTCAGCAATGTATACATTGCTTAGGCAGAGTATACACTGCCCGAGACTGTACACTCCGTCGGTAACATGTGCACGCATGAATGAATGTTTAATATGTACACGGATAAATAAACGTTTTTCGACACGCGCTAGTTCTCTGTGTAATCGTTATATTAATTTACAATCGTCGAACGATATTACGTATACGTATATGTAGATTGCATATATTTTTATCTTTATTTATTTATTTTTTGTTTACTTCTCTCCTTTCTTTTCTTTTTTTTTCATTACGATCCTGCGAGTAACTCGCGATCGTTCATCTCTAGTCCTTTTTCTGTGTATGTATGTACGTATGTGTATGTATACATGAAATGAAATCGCCCCGGTTACTCGTTAGACCATGAAATATTTCTTGGGTCCAATTAATTAGGATCATCACACCGTGACACCGTCGCGACGTGCGTCCGTGACGGATTAATTATTAATATTATTATTAATTATTATTATTATCTTATTATCATTAGAAATAGGTACTTCCTGCACGAACGATGCGACCGTGGTTTCATCATCGTAGCTTTATCGTACTAGATTAGGTTAATCGAAGAGCGTTCGGCAAGCCATTCTCACGATTCACCGGCTGAAATCGCGAAACTTTTGGTAAAATAGTTCTATTTCTTCTTTTTTTAAATTAATTTTATTGTTAATTCGTTTCGAGTTATATCTTCTTCAAATGTGGAGGGGAGAAGGGTATCGAGGGGCATGGGTAGGTGAAAATAGACATTTCCGACGAATTTCAAAATAATTTCTCTTTCGATCGACGATCAAAGGAGATATACGCTCGAAAACGTGTTCAATCGTGTTTTCAACGGGCGAATCGCAGTGGTTCTCATCGCTTGCCTAACGCCGCTTATATGCTTTCTCGTTCGTCGATGGCACTCTCTGCTCCTCCTCTGTCCCTTTCGCGAATCCTTTTTTATGTTTTACTATAGAGACAGAGAGAGAGAGAGACAGAGAAAGAGTAAGAGGAAGGAGAAGAACGAAGAGAATAATAGTTAAGAAAAGAAAACAATAGAAAAAAAGAGAAGAGAAAAGAAAAACACAATCCACACAATTATATATCGAAAAGTACTTACAAACACGTTCGTAAACGTCGTGCGAACGCAAGAAAGAACGAATTTTCTCTCGTCAACGTTTATTGAGCATCGATGAAGTGCTGTCAGACCGTTCTATGTGTGTGTATATATATATATATATTATATATATATTTCTTTTTTTCTTACTATTTGTTTGTTCCTTTTTGATAATTGTATCGGCATCCTGATCTCCGCGATTACCTCTGTGCTTGGATCATATACACATTCTTTCCAGAGAATTTGAGAAAATGAAGAAAAATAAAGAAACAAGGTTTATTTGTTAACCCTTTCGTTACCTGTGAGCCGCATATGTGCAATTTCAGTACTCGAATAAAAATTTATTTTAATGTAGTCATCGTTACAAACGCTAGGTGAATAGAAAATTGTCGAAAAAAGTTATAATTCGGTTACGAGAGGGTTAAAACATTTGAAAACGTTTCATGCTGATTTTCGATTTGTCTAATAATAAATCCGCACAGGGTTTGTCGAAGAAGATCGTAATGATCGATAACACGCTGTACAAAAGACGTAGACTGCGTTACTTTCGAAACAAAACACACAAGTTAGTTAGGCTTTGACACGTTCCAAGGGAGGGGGTATAGGAGAAGATGGTAAATTAAATGAAATAAAGTAAAAATGTCGTCGAGAATAACGCTGCACCTCATGCACGTGGATACGCGTTCACAAAATGTAACGGTTATGTTTTCATCGTAGTTTTCACGGATCTGATTAAGTGTAATTATGCCCATACCAAAGTAGTATCACGCCCTAATCGATAATTCATATGTATATATATATATATATTTATGTATATATTACACTAGTCGTTAACACTGCGGACGACGCTGCTTTAACACGCAGAATTAAATTAATTATGCACTCCGTGCAAAAACGAACGGTGGACAAAGAAACAGAGAGAAAACGTTCTCGTCTCGTCGTAATTTTCTCTATACGCAAAAAGCACACGAACCGCTCCTCGAAGCCACATCATCAGTCTTGTTGCGTTTGCACGTGGTCGAGATGCGGCTCGCTTGGATTACTCTTCGCTTTCTTTTTGTTAATTATCCTTTTTCGCAGAAGAAAGAGATAGATAGATAGATAGATAGATAGATAGATAGATAGATAGAAAGAGATAGATAGATAGATAGATAGATAGATAGATAGATAGATAGATAGATAGAGAGGAAAAGAACGAACACGGTTCTCGACACGGTTGAACTACTTTCCTTCGTAATCGTCTATAACGTCGTACGATTTCTTTATAAAACCCCGAAACATGAGAGAAATGACTAAGACAGAAGTTAGATGCGTTAAAAAGGCCCACGTATACTCGTGACGACACCGGATCTTCCGTTTTTCGCATGTCGCGTGTATAATGTAGAACGTGTGTTTATGTACGTGAATGTGTTCGATAGTCGGTCTGAACTCGATACATCGTTCGATACTCGAGCACTGTTCTTTATAACTTGTAAATAGAATAAGAAGAAGAAGAGACGAAGATATCTACAGAAGAAACTATAGTTCTCTTGGACACGAGGCTGAACAACGTAGTTTCATAATAAATGATCGATCGAGTTTTGAACGTCTGATAAAACACGATCATGGTATTCTGAATTTTATCGAAGTGTGTCTAATGCAACTATTACTCTGTAGAGAAGGTAGATCTCGCCTACTATGATACACTTAACACGTTCACCATCTAAGCTATTACATTTTGTTAAATTAATCTTTCACTATAGATAATACTAATTACTTTATCCCTGTAGCAGACGATGCACGACGTAATAGATGATGAACGTATTAATAAATACGCGTAATCGTGTTCATGATCTCGTTCGTCGTGGTTACACATTTTTATTGACACATTAGAAATCGATTAAAATTGATTCGCACGATTCTATCGTCATTGTAGTCGTCGACTTTACTCGTTCATTGTAAATTCACCACTATTCACAATTTATTTAAACTATTGTCCTTCGTCTATACAATTCCACGATGAACGAGTCAATTCACCAGAAACTTCAATATCTCGAATCGTACTAAATCGAAATGTCAGCAACTGTCATTATTAGGAACAAAGATGTACCTCCGAATCGAACGTCCTCGCGTTCAGACCGCCATCTGGAGAGTGAGAAGGGTTAACACGGCGAGACACGGACTACTAAAGACCGTCGATCATTCAGTGTTTCTAAATTCTTTCTATATCTTACATGCACCAGTCTTGTTGTCCGTGTCACGCTGGAAATTAGTGGTATTACAAATCTATTGCGTGGCATCAATCGTTCAGACATATGTAAATCACACCCAGTTAGGTACACGTAAAGGTAATAGAGTGGATGCAATGACAGTGCAAAGATGTTAGAATGATCCTGCCGTGCTGATGTAATACAACGACAAAGACTAAGATACAGATGAATTATTTACTTTCTCGTATTACCTGTACACGGTTGAAGTTGAGTCCTACTCGAGTCAGGTTGAATTTAAATCGAACGATTCGTAAGGTTGTAACACAGAATAATTGAGTATCATCTAGGGAAGCACAGCAGGATTAACTAACCGTTCACAGTGATTGTTCTACGAGGTGAACATTTCTTTTTAGTTAGGATGTATCATATCGGTAATACAAGTTGTGCATGCAATTACTCGTCTACGAAGGAAGGAAGACATAGTAATAGACGGGTTCGGTAAATGAGATCCATTAGGTTTGTCGAAACTTCATGCACAATCTCTGCGTTGACATTTCGGCAACTGATCAGGCAGTTCCAATTCTGACGTCTTGAACGAAGCGGACACTCCTGATGCTAGGGATTAACCAACAATAACCATTTTTTTTTTTTAAAAGTAAGCAACAACTAAAGCGGTTAGAGCTAAACAGAAAGAGATAGTAATAGAGAGTGTGTGTATAGGAAATAAATTAGAAGGGAGAAACATGAAACATCTAATAGTATTACTTAAGTGAACTGAACGGAAATAAATCATATATGGTGAGCTGCTGTGCGTGTGCGTTATAAGTCAAGTGCCCAAAAATAGAACTACCGCAAAATTAAGGTGCAACATGCTCTCTAGGACCCTGTTCTGTCGATGTTTTAACTAATTCTTGAATAATTCTCACACTCAACTTCACTCGTGATATTTTGCTACTAAATTATTACTAATAATAAAAAAAATTCACATAAAAATTAAACACGAAGAAAATTAAGTATTTAAAAAAAAGTTTCTTTTATATACGGCTAAGACATCGTCAGATATATTATGACATACATAGAACACTAAGGTGCAACCGTTTAGAATAAAAAGGATCGTCGTAAACTACCGAAGAGAAATTAGCGCGTTCTAGAAGTGCATTGTGCTCAAACATCATGCAATGTGTGTATGGTGTTGAAAAGGTTGACAGGAGTAAGGGGGGTGTACTAACGTATCATCAGGGTTAGAAAAAACATCGATGGGTGTTGTTTCATTTTTTGTTGCGGAGGAAAAGTTAATGTTTAAAAGGCACTCGTAGAAAATAATTTAACAATCACAATTGTTTTAATTGCGATGGGTCTCTCTCTTTTTTTTTCTTTTTATCACTCGAAGCCACTGAAACCCGTAATATGATTGTTGAGAGCGACGTCAGGGTACGGTGTGATGCGGGCATGGTGGGCCTTGGTGGCAAATCTGTATTGGTTGTACTAACACCATGCACAACAGTCAAACTGGTTAAAATCTCACTTAAACGCACTTCAATTAATAACTTATCTTCGATGCTTCCCGGGCAACGGGGAAGAACTTCGGTGTTTCTTTTTTTTTTGTTTGTTTGTTTGTTTTAAATGCAATTGCAAGTCCGAGAACTCAGTTGCAAGAATGTTTTCCATAGGAAAAACATTGTCTGTTAGACTAAATGTTTGTTTTCACGGACGTTCTATTTGGAAAAATAACTTAATAGTCCAAAGTACACAGCCCACATTGGAATGATCCAATGATGCACTGTCTTAAGTGGATTCTCACCATCTGTGAACTTTCTGGCAACGAACTTCAGGGTTTCGTCGAGAAGTACCACTGGAATGGAGAACTTCATAACGGTAAACCACTCCTCACCCGTTAAGGGGGTAACTTGGAATACAGACTGAAACAGAGAGGAAATAATCGACGTTACTACGTAACATTAATAAAATAACGAGAAGAAAACAAGCAGCAATTTTTGTTGTTCTTGTATGATTATACCGAAAGGACTTCGACGTAAAGGATGACAAAGTGGAGTGTGAAAGAAAGAGCCATAGAGGCAATGAGCCACATGTTAGACCAGGGCGGCATACTGATGAGAGACTGATTCTCAGATAAACTGAAAGGAAACAAAAAAATGAAGTATAAATTAACGATACAAAATTGAAACATTCACAGAGGTTCATCTAGACGATTGGTACCTGTTCATGGCGTTCAACATTTCAATGGTTACGAGTACAGACAGAGCCATCGTCATGGGATGAGGATCCGTGAAGATCTTGCAGTTAATGCCCTTGAATTCGTCGCCACCACCCAAGCACGCCAAGTGATGAGTCTGTAAATATATAATATTCGTTGTTAAAATTAATAAATAAAATATAAATTCAACACATTAGACGTATGTATAGTAATTACCAGTTGATAGTAGTTGATCTGTGGGCCATGAGGACTGTACAAGAACCACCATGCAGCCGATCCAACAGTCGCAGCACCTACATATCCGCCAATAGCCAGGTAGCGGAAGAACAACCAGCCAGAAATGAGAGATTCGTCGGCTTTACGGGGAGGCTACAGTATCATAAGAAGAATTATAAATTTTTATTTATTTCAATTATCAAATAGAACTTCTTTATTAGTAAACTTACCTTGCTCATGATGTCCAAATCAGGAGGATTGAAACCGAGAGCAGTGGCTGGAAGACCGTCAGTGACCAAGTTGACCCACAGAAGTTGTACAGGGATCAGAGCTTCGGGAAGACCAAGAGCGGCAGTCAAGAATATACTGTAATTAACAAAGAACAATTTACAACTCGCATATATCATTTTATTCAGCAACACTAGATTGGACATTAAAGTTCCTCTTTACAAACCTTACGACTTCACCAATGTTGGAAGAAATCAGGTAACGAATGAACTGTTTCATGTTGTTATAAATGGCACGACCTTCCTCAACGGCAGCGACAATGGAAGAGAAGTTGTCGTCAGCCAATACCATCTCAGAAGCGGATTTCGCGACAGCGGTTCCAGATCCCATAGCAATACCAATCTCAGCTTTCTTCAAAGCTGGAGCATCGTTCACACCGTCACCAGTCTACAAACAGAATAACCAATCAAAATAACAATCGTTACACTTGTAATACATACACAACAGCAAATAATCAAGCAACCCACCATAGCTGAGATCTCGTTCATACTTTGCAAGAACTCAACGATCTTGGATTTGTGAGCAGGTTCTACACGAGAGAATAGACGAGCCCTGGCGCAGGCAGCTTTCTGTTCCGACGGTGGAAGGTCGTCGAACTCACGTCCAGAGTACGATTTGCCAGTGGTATCCTCATCTTCCTCGAACACACCGATACGTCTGCAGATGGCTTCAGCAGTGGCTTTGTTGTCGCCGGTGATGACAATTACACGGATACCAGCAGCACGACACCTGACGATGGAGTCGAAGACTTCCTTGCGAGGTGGGTCAAGCATACCAACGACACCAATGAAGGTCAGATCCTTCTCGTACGTGTAGAATTTAGAAGAGTCACCAAGGTCCATGTCGTCAGGCTTCATTGGGTGATCAGCAGTGGCAAGAGCAAGGCAACGCAGAGTGTCTCGGCCAGTACCGTATTGGCGAGTGAGGTCCAGGATACGGTTCTTCAAGGTAGAGGTGAGAGGAACCTTGTTAGAGCCGACACGAGCGTGCGTGCACCTGTCCAAGACACCCTCAGGTGCGCCCTTAACGAACAGTTTCGGTCCAGTGCCCAATTTTGTCGGTTTCAAAGGTGTACAGTAAGAGGACATGGATTTACGATCGCGAGAGAACTCCAGAGTGAATTCCTTCTTCCATTTCGTCTCCATGTCCTGTCTGACAACGATGGCTGCGTTACGCCTGTCCAGTCCACCTTTTGAGGCACCGTAGGGATTGATCTTTTCCGCGAGAACGATCAGGGCGGTCTCGGTTGCCTCGCCGACCTTCTCGAATGCTTGTTTGAATTCGTTGAAATCGATGGCGGAGTCGTTGCACATGATACAGATAGTGGAGATTTCGTGGAGGGTTTCGTAGTCCTGGCCACGGATCTTCTTGCCTCTTACGAAGATGTCACCGGTTGGCTCGTAGGTCGAACCGCTGATTTCGAACTCGTGGAAGCTGCTGTCGTTACCCTCGACCTTCTCGAAGATGAACATTCTGGAAGACAAAGGTTTGAAGTTTGTGAAATGGAGATTGACAGAGTAGGAGAGGGATAGATTTGAAGATTATCAAATTTATGCTTGGATAATTGGTAAATAGCGAAGGTGATGATTGACGCTTGGAAAATTTGGAAATTACCAAAGTGACGCTCTGAAAATTTAAAAATCGTGAAAATGGCGTCTGGAAAATTTGGAAATCGTGAATTTGACGCTTGGAAAAATCTAAAAATTACCAAAGTGACGCTTTCAAAATTCGAAACCCAACATTGCCATAACCTACCGGCTAACGGACATCTGGTTGGTGGTCAAGGTACCAGTCTTGTCCGAACAGATGACAGAGGTACAACCGAGGGTCTCGACAGACGGCAGTGATCTTACAATAGCGTTCTTCTTGGCCATACGACGTGTACCCAAAGCTAAGCAAGTGGTGATGACAGCCGGCAAACCTTCAGGAATGGCAGCTACGGCGAGAGCGACGGCGATCTTGAAGTAGTAGATGGCTCCCTTGATCCAAGATCCACCATGGGCAGGGTCGTTGAAGTGTCCAATGTTGATAGCCCAAACAGCGACGCAAATCACGGAGATAACTTTCGACAATTGTTCGCCGAACTCGTCCAATTTCTGTTGCAGGGGCGTCTTGATTTCTTCGGTCTCAGACATCTCAGTACGGATCTTACCAATAGCGGTGTTCAAGCCAGTTCCAATGACCACACCGCGAGCCTTGCCAGCGGCTACATTGGTACCAGAGAAGAGGATGTTCTTCTTGTCCTGTGTAACGAAAAGAAGACGAAACGTTAGTTACGAACTTGAAGAAATTTCGTCGAACGTGGCGTTTCAGTTTGATGTTCTCCAAGGTAAGTTTGAAAATTAGGTACTAGAGCTGGAAAGTACTCAATTAACAAAGTACCGATCTTCTGCACAACTAAATTATAGATGTACACTCGGTGGAAGGGATATAGCGAGGTCGTAAAATCGATCAAGCGTCAAAGTACACGTAATCCGGGCGTCGAAACAGCAGTTTAAGGGAGATAAGAAACTAAGGACTCGTTCAGGATCGTTCGATATCAGCTCAGAATTGATTCTTCCATTACAGTATATTCGACAAATTTTTTTGTCCTTGATCTTTCACATTTACAAATGAATTTCCACCAAATACACGTCAGTTACATAGCTTGAAACTTTAGGAAAGAGAAATTTAGTCCAGAAAATGAAGAATCTTTCAACCCTCCTTGAATCGTTCATCTGTTTCATCTAAAGTTTAACTCTAATTGCATTTCTGCTCTTAATCTTTGACAAGTGAAGCTTAATTTTTGCCAATGTACCAATTACACAGCTTTGAACTGTACGAAAAAAATTTGGTCCAGAAGATACAGAACTTTTGTGAATCCTAATCTTTCGTCTCGAAAATTCTGCTCTAATTGCAATTAGAAAAGGACTTGTGTGAACTACTCTCTGTAGACTAGAGTAAGGATGATGAATTATACTAACCTGGTTGACGGCACGCGGGTCAGGCACAGGATCAGTGTGCTTGATCACCGAGACAGATTCACCGGTCAGGATAGACTGGTCGATCCTGAGGGTGGTCGAGAAGATCTTTGTGAGACGGATATCGGCCGGGATCTTGTCACCGACAGACACCTCAACAATGTCACCGGGCACGATCTCCTTGGCGCGAATCCTCTGGACACCGGACTTGTCCATTCGAAGGACCTTACCCATTTCAGGTTCGTACTCCTTCAACGCTTCGATCGCAGACTCGGCGTTACGTTCCTGCCAGACACCGACCACGGCGTTGGCGATGAGGATGAGCAAAATGACGAAGGGCTCGACGAAGGCCGTGAATGCATCCTCGTGCTCTTCAAATAAAGCTAATACCTGTGGAATTAGAATTTTTTCTTTTATTTTATGCTACAGAATATTCTTTCGTTTCGTTTAGTGCCAATATAAATATTATTTTAGGGTGCCAAATTTCAAATCGTTCTCAAGTAAAGTGTACGAAATTAGTCTGAAACGAAAGACACTGTTTCTTTTTTTACCCTAATTAGTTATAATTTTTGCTCATTTTTAACTATGAATTAGAGGGATTCAATTTCTGTTTGAGAAGTGAATACAGGTAACAAGTTAAATACGTTTTTATTAATTTTGGAGCATAGAAACAGAGAGAAGTACAATTCTACAATTTTCGTTCCTGTTTTTAGGGAGCAAAGATTAAAATTGAGAGTGGAAGAATTGTTATTGCCACTGAATTTTCTAATCATTTCTATGACTACTTCTGCGCCACACTTTAGATAAGTAAAAAGAATTTGTCAACGGTTAAATATAGACAATTTTTCTGTGACTGCGATAAGGACGTTTCGAAATTAGCCTGGTTATTTGTATAATGTATAAGAAAAACATTAAACAAAGGAAGCAAGAACGTGTTTGTTGTCGATACGTTCCAGCAAAAGAACAGGTCGGCGACATTTATCTAATCTGTTTATTCAAAACGTATTTACTCTACATAATCATTTAACGCGATCGATATAACACCTCTCAGTGGCAATAACAATCACTACCTGGTACAATCCATCGCTGGAGTGTTTAAATATTTGTAATGAAGATAAAGGAAAATTTTTCACTTTTGAAAAATGAACTTTTCACTTTTGTATCCAACGAGATATGCGAAAGTTTAATTTGAAAAAGTCACGAAGGATATTTATGCTTGAAAAATGAAGAAATGTTGGGGGGGGAAGTAAGGAGTTCAAAAATATAAATTTTTACAAAGAAAATTTATGCTCCCACAGTCAAGAAATATAAAAAAAAAAATAGCTGGCTCCAAGAAATTATTTTCTTCAAAGAATATTTACCCTCAAAGAGCTAAGAAAATAAGAAAAAGTAGGGAATTCAGAAACCCGATTTTTTCAAACAAAATTTACGCTCAGACGGTAAAGAAAAATTGGAAAAACAAAAGAAGAGAGCTTGAACATAAATGACTCTTTCCTGCTTTTTTTTTACATTTGATCAGGTATTTTTACACGAACAGAACCACACCGTGTGCTCGCAGCATCCACGACGAATTTTCTACACGTGCGTAAGGATAACGAGAGTCTCGTTACCGCGGAGGTGGGAAGGGAGTAGGGATCGATGCGCTATTTTTTCACCTTTGAAACCAGATGTATATTTATAATGAGTGAGCCTTGAACCCCCTCGTAAACATAGTACGACTTGAAGCCGACTAATAATTACTTAGCGGCTCTCATACGAGCATAATGCACCGCTTCGATTTTATTAATTACCAACGTTTCGCGTCACGTCTAAAAATAAAGAACGACTGCTCGCGTTCGATCATTTATCCACGACAAAGAGCCTGCGGTTCAACGTTTTTCGTGCGAAGATTCCTCGTTCGTGTGCGATTTTTCCATTTCCCTTCTCCGTTTCTTATCGAGATTCAGGCACTACGCACACGTATAACGTCATCGTTGACGTGTCTCAGATAAAGCTGTTATATGATCGATCGAGAATCGTTAACTCGGTACGTCTACCGAAAATAATCTATTTTCTCGAGATTACTGGAAGTTTTTCCGAATTTACGAGGTATCGATAAGGAAAGATAAATCAGATCGAAGCACGATTGATCGTTCTTTCAAGTACCTCACGGTGTATCGAGTGGATTTGGTATACTTACAAAAGAAATAATAGCAGCTAATAGAAGAATCTTAACTAGAAGGTCGTCGAATTGCTCCAGGACGAGTTGCCATATGGATTTTCCTGTAATTACACGAAAAAACGTTAGATTTTTCCTCTTACACGTGGTTTTAATTCGCTTTAACGTTCTAACGACGATCGTTTCGGTAAATGGAATCGAAGGTTCCTTTTCTTACGCTGCTCGAATGTAAATTCCGGCTGATTATTTGCGCGACGTCGAGAACTGGCATCGTTAACTTGCCTCAAACTTATTTAGATAATACGAAACGTGAACAGAGATTTTTCCAAGTGAATCAGGAAACAAATTGGCATATTTTCTTTCCGATTTCTCGATGGAAGAACGATTTGTTTCGTTATCGATGTTTGACGATCCACTGGAGTTCGTAACAACCCACTCGACTACCTATCTCGCAACGATATCTTCGAAACTCTACCACGCTTTCCTCATTGACACACGATCGAGAATGATAGATCGAGGGAAGATAAAGTTCCAGGGAAATGATTAAAGTTCGTCATCGTGGTTGAAACTTATCTCGAAAAATTTCCTCTGCCTCTAATCCTTCGCAACGTCGAAATTGAGAAGCACCATTTCTCACTCGTGACAAGATTTATGTCAATTTCCCCGAGTTCAATAATTAATCCACAGAAAAAGAGTAAAGCGGGAAAAATGATATTTTCAATCCTGTGTGACGTTAAATGTCCAAAATGTATAAAATGAACAAAAAATTAACAAATCTCGGTGTACAAATCAAACTGTTTTTGGGAGGAAAACAGCACCGAACAACATCTTGGAGGAAACACTTCTAGAGCACGGAATATTAAAAAAAAAAAAAAAAGGAGAACCAATAATAAAAACGTCGCTTTTGAGATTCGTCCACGTGTAGAAGCACCGCGTCTCGATCGTCCAGGTGTAAAAAAAAATCGTAACCTGTTGACTTCGCGATTCTTCTTCCATGCGCGTGAAGGAAAAAAGGAGAGAAAAAAGATGGCGGAACTGAGAGAGTAATCGGTGGCAGGCCCTGGTGTCCTTGATGGCAGTATGCGATTGACGTCACGTCGGCTCCAACGTGCTCTACGGTTCACGATTTCATTAATTGTAATCTACGACCAGAGACGAGTGAAAATTCGATTGCCGGCCAATTATAGAAACGCGTTTCTACCTCGTCATCCATGTATACCACGAGCTTTCGCCCATCCTACACTCTCTCTGTCCCTTTTCCCCGTCCATCGGCGACATTTTAACACGTTCACTTTTTCTGCACTGCCAATTTCCGATTAATCATCGAGCCACGATGAGAAAAGGGCTTGGTTAAAAGGGTCACCTGAATCCTTGTCAAAATACACCCTCGCCCTTGTTTTTAAGTTTCTCTCTTTTTTTCTTCTTTTTTTTTTCTAATGGTAGAGTGGTGCGGGTACTTTATATTGGGAAACTTTTAGTACCGTGACCTTTGAATATTCGACGATACATTAAAAAATTTACCATTCCGTATGGAAATCCACTTCGACGTAGTTTTTTGGGGAATTGTCAGAGTGCGTGGTTCATTTTTATTTCTGAGACAGAGAAAAGTCTGTGGGATATTATTTAACCCGTGGAATAGTAATTTTTGTGCTTCGTTCATTTTTACGTTTGGATTTAAAAGAATCTCCTTCTCATCGAAATTTACTTAACCCCGGAATATTAACGTCAAGTTTCCGGTTCTACGTAATAAAAATAATAGTTCCGTTAAATTCTTCTCTAAAATTTCCCGCAGAAAAAAATATTCTCTCAAAAATCGCGACCAGTTCGAATATCTCCAAACGTTCGAATACACACAAAAAAAAAAAAAAAAAAAGAAGGGGGAAACAATGCAAATACGGCGCTTTAATCAACGCGATGGTAAAACGGAGGGGAAAAAAAGAGAGGGAGCAAGGGAAAGAAACGTTTCGAATTTAAAAGGTAACTCGCGTACGGCATTTTTATTGCGTTGCAATCAAGGTGACGCGACAAAACGCGATTCCGCGACGGCCATATGTCATCAGCCGTCTCTTTCGACGACTCTTGTGCAAGCATCAGTTTCATCACCGCGTTTGTCCACGCAATGCGGATATTGTCAGTCGGATCAATGACGCTCGAACATCGGACGAAGCGGCGTTCGACGAAGAGAAAAAGAGAGGCGAAGTGGCCTGGTGTCGTTAAATTACGAAAGAAATCTCATTAATGCGACCTTGATTGGTTCCACGACAATCTTACCTCTTGCCGGGTGAAATTAGCGAGAACCGGAAGTGCGTGGTTACGTGAAACGAAAAATAACGAGGAACGGTAAGGAAGATGGTCACGTAATATCGTTCCACGAGAAAGCTGACGGACTTTTCCCCAACTGTTACCGAGTCCGTTTCGATGGTAATGCGAAAGGATTGGAAATCGAGAATTCCATTTCGAAGTTCTCGATTCGCCGTTAGAGAGGCCGGGAAAGCAGAGTTCGGGGATCATTTTGAAGTTAAATTGAGTTGTGCTAGTTATTTCACCCCGAGAACCTCCGTATCATTGTTGTAATTCGGGTAAAATGATAATTTAATCGACTGCAATGCGATTTTTCTTCGCGAAAAGAAATTTTACATTTTGCCCTTTGTACTCCATTTTTTTTTATGTTTTTGCGGAAAGCACTCTTGGAAATCTGGAGTTCCAGTTTGTAAAGGAAAAATGATAAATTTGACGAAATTATTAGAAATAATTAGAAAATCTAAAGTTCTGTTTTCTAAAGGAAAATTAGAAATTTTGTTGAAATTATTTTTTATTTCGATAATGTAGATAAAACTCGAATATCACGTTTTACAGCAGAGCAGTAAACAGGTAAAACGAGACGTGTAAGAGAGATGCATGGACAGGTGTGTAAGAGGCGTTGTAAAGGGTTAAATTACGATCATTTTCACGCGGAAGACGAAGCGTGGATGCGATCGAAGGAGTAGCTTGAAAATTTACAACTGTGACCAGCTATGCCTCAATTCCCGGAAGAGGCTCCCAACGTTTTTATCGTTCCGTGACTAAATATTCAACCGCGAATAGAAATGCGAGCTCGTGCATCACGGATCGCGTGCCACTCTCTCCAATTACGCGCAGTTGCACGAGACGATTCACGTATCGCCGGCCGGAAAGGGAAAACGCGGCTTTCCTGAATGAAAATCGGTGGGTAATAGATAAATACGAGCTACCTACCACCTGCTAGTAAATCATTCTAACCTAAATTCAGGGATCGTCGTAAATAAACTTCGGCCTGACCCGGTAAATCCAAACACGAGGTTAGACGAGAAAGATCTAATCCAATCGATGCTCTAGAAATACTCGACTAATCCTCGGAAGATCAACCCTTGATCCAACCAGTGCACACAATTTAAACTCGGCAATCATCCTGTTCTAAGGGATGAAAGGCGAGAGGAACGCTGGAAACTGGTCGATATGGGGAAGATAACAAATTGATCGCGCGTAATTAACCCTTTTGGATCCATTGACAGGATATCTTGGGAAGTGATTGTTTCTGATTCTTTGGACGAGATATTTCGCGTCTATATGGAGCCCGTTGGTTCAGCTTTTATATAGAATTCTGTGCTGTAGCAGTGAAGACTTTTATATAGCATTCTGAACGAAGGCTCGACGAATGAAAAATCGAATTAGTAGCGATAGTGACAGCAATGACGATACAGAGCAGTCGTTTTCAATCGATGTGCCGCGAGAGGTTCTCACAGGCGTGTTAAAAAAGTTAAAAAAGTTAAAAAAGTACGGTTTCCTGTGGAACGTATCTACAGCATAAAAAGAAACTGTATATTGTTTGGTACGCCGTAGAATTTCAGTAATTAGCTTACGTGTGCCGTGAGATAAAAAAAGGTTATAAATCGCTGTATAACACGCTTTAAGAGCTCGAACGTTCCTCGTGCAAGCGTTAATTAATATTAAATAATAACTGTTTCGTTCGTTACACAGCGAGCGCTTTTTATCTGAAGCGCGCCGTGGCGAAAGGGTTAATGATACATAATCACGAGAAATCCTATATGTAGCATGGTTAAATAGCACAATGAAAAGACACGCGAAATATCTCGTTTAGAGCGTGAAATAATGCATTTCGAGTCGCGGAATATCTCGTCCAAACCGTGAATTAAAGGATTTCGAATCGCGAAATATCTCGTTTAGAGCGTGAAATAATGCATTTCGAGTCGCGGAATATCTCGTCCAAACCGTGAATTAAAGGATTTCGAATCGCGAAATATCTCGTCCAAGGTATGAAATTGAGAATTTCGAATCGCGGAGTATCTCATTTAAAGCGCGAAATATCTCATTTGAAGCGTAAAACAAGGAACTTCGAGTCGCGAAATATTTCGTTTAAAGCGTAAAATAAGGAACTTCGAATCGCGAAATAAGGAACTTCGAGTCGGGGAATATCTCGTCCAAAGCGTGAAATAAAGAATTTAAAATCGCGAAATATCTCGTCGAAAGCGTGAAATAAGGAACTTGGAATCGCGAAATATCTCGTCCAAAGTGTGAAATAAGGAACTTGGAATCGCGAAATATTTCGTTTAAAGCGTAAAAAATAAGGAACTTCGAATCGCGAAATATCTCGCCTAAAGCGTGAATTAAAGGATTTCGAATCGCGGAATATTTCGTTTAAAGCATATCTCGTCCAAAGCGTGAAATAAAGAATTTAAAATCGCGAAATATCTCGTCGAAAGCGTGAAGTAAGGAACTTGGAATCGCGAAATATGTCGTCCAAAGTGTGAAATAAGGAACTTGGAGTCGCGAAATATCTCGTTCACAGATAGGAAGGGGTTAATGGCGACCAGGTTGACACGTTTACTCCTCCTCCTCGACGACGCGTGCACATGAAACGTTAATGCAACGTGCAACGAGTTCTGGGCTTGCTTTAATAGTCTTCCATCGTCCACAGTATCTAGGCTTCTCCTCACGGACCCTAAGTGCCTCGATATTACCGCGTCGAGCGTTTTCCAAGACGCCTATTCCTGCGTCTTTGAACGCCTCTGACCATCCAACCTCCCTTTGACGTAGTTTGCCTGATCAGTTTAGGCGCGATGATAACGAGGATTCGAGCGCATAACAGGGAAATTAGGTCGTTCGATTGGGTTGGTTGGTTAAATGGGGAACGTTTCGAGGATCTGTTAGGAAATCTGTAGCCTGGAGAGGAAGTTACGTTGAATTTACTGCCTTTTGAGCTTTGCCTCTTCAGAATTCAAAGCTGCCATGTACCATAACGCTGTAAGTGCTGGATTTCCACCAACTCAAATAACACCGCAATGTTGTAAGCACCAGCTTAAGTAACTGCTGTTGATATTACAATCATCCTAACACTTGACAAGGAAAAAAGAAATTACCATTTTGATAAATAGTATATCCTCGGTTTTCGTTTCTCCTGAAAATTTCGTTTTTTGGTGCTTCAAAAGTTGTGCCTTCGAACCCTTTAATTTTAGATTGGACCGAGAAAGGTTAGGGTCGAATGTTTAATTATTTCGCTATGATAACGATCGCTTGAGAACGGCCATAATGCCTCTACGGCAGAAATGTGTTATTTAAAGAAGTGGATCGTTTTATCCTTCATAACGAAAGGGTTAATTAACAAAAAAGAAATTAAGAAACGCGTCCTTTCGTCTAATAAAAATTAGTCTCTCATTAGTCATAGATCGGCAAGTAAATATTTCTTTTGGTAATCTTTTTAAAGACCGCGATGCCACTTTAACTCGAGATTATGATCCCTGATTTATTATACTGTTAATACCTCACGTGCTGTATTTATGAATAACCACTGATGAATATTCACGATTGTTTTGAGTTCAAACAAACACCAGGGACCAGTTATCTTCGCGAAATATTTGCTGTTCTCTTACATGCTACACCTCCTATTGATTGCTCTTCTTAACTTCGCTAACAAGCTCCTAAATCCTCCGAAAATACTTCCAGCAACAGAAAAGCAATTTCAACATACTTCTGCAGTAAAATTTTTGAAAATCAAAAGTTTCGTTTCGAAAGGAAAAAAAAATGAAAAATTTATTTATTCCGTTTTCTTCCGAAACAGAAAATATGAATTTTCCATTTTACTGTAAAAACTCCTAATGTTTAATTACGATGCAAATCAGAGATTACGAAGATCGCCACAGTGTACTGCAACGGGTTAAATCCCCTGAAATTCCAAACGCAATAATTTCACCTATTGCACGTGCACTATCGGCCAAATGTTTGGAACCACTGTTCACTGTAGGTTACAGAAAAATTTCTAAAAAAGTGTTATCAATTTTAAGAATTTTTTAAGCAACTTGTTGTCATTCAAATCAATCGAAATGAGGTCAAGTGCTATTGGTTTCCGCAACATAAATTTCAGGTTTATAAAGAATTAGTAACAGATTCAATATTGATGTAAATTGATAAGTGATTCCAAACTTTTGGCCGGCAGTGTGTATTACCTAATCTCTCCTACGTTAAACCATTTAACTCGCACATTAGCGAAAAACGAGGAGAATCTATCTCATTAGTCGCGTGGAAATTAGGCCGAAATCCCTGTGAAGCTGCTTAACAACTAAACGGATAAAACGGCCGATGAAAGAGGTGAGCCCCTACTAAAAATAATCACCAAGAGAGAAGGAGAGCTAAGAAGTCGATGATTAGACCTCGCGCGACCACGTACAAGTGCGTCTATTTTTAAGGGATCTAAAGGTACGAGAGATTACCCGCGGGAACAGGTAAACAACAAGGTGGGACAAGGCTTCCTTCATTTTCCAATGATCCGAAACCTCGCGGAGAACCTATGACTGCTATTACACCGTTTCACGGCGACGCGACGCTTCTGTGTCATCGTGCGGTCTGTTCACTGATATTTGTTTACATGAAAAACGTCAGTAATGACGTCGGGGCACGAGTCATCGACGTAGAACAGCAGCTTGTCGAGTGCCTCGCCGCGACTCGAGATAAGGCTCGTTTTGTCTCGCGTTTTAATTCATGATATTGCTAAGTAAATGGGATTTCCTTTGTGTCCTTCTTTTTTCTTGTTTCGTCTTCGAACGTTTGCTAATTAATTAGGCAAAAGAAGATTCTCTTGAATTTCTAAAATTCTGAACTTCTATTATTAGAAGAATTATTGAATTCTTCAAGTTTAGTGTTTCTAAATTTTTATAAATTCCTCAACATCAAAATTCTCAGAAATTTTTTGAGCTTAAAAATGTTACAACTCTGAATTCCTAATATTTGGAAGTTTATTAAACTCTGAAATTCGAAAGTTTCTGAATCCTTGAAAAATTGCAAAATTCCTCAATTTCTGAGAGAAATCTCGAAATGGCAGAATTGAAAGATTCTGAAACGATTCTATCCGACGCTTATCGTAAAATCTTTTTCCACCGTTATTTCCTAAAACCATCAACCAAAACCCTCCCTTTCGATGCCAATTTGTTGCCAGAACAGCTTACCGTGTCGATCGTCGCAGAGAAACGAATGCTTTCGCCATGAAAAGACTTACCCTCCTCGGCAGGCAATTCTGAAACAAACAAACAAGAGAAATAAGTATCCATCGCGTGAAATTAAAGTACGTCGTTTGAATAACCAATGAAAATCCAATAACACAATTCGTACGTGCAATATCGAGATTTCTGGGTCTAAAAGGATCCACCACTGTGCAAATGTTAACACATTACTATCTTTTAAACCACGTACATTATAACGCACGACACACACATACTTTTCTCATACAGAAAAAAATCTGTGTTTGATTTGCTATGAAAATAATAAAATTAAAAAACGCATCCTAAAAGGAAATGGTGAGGCAATTTGTTGTTTCTTCAAACGATTAAGTTAAGTTCACTTTCTATTCGTTATTCCTTGTATACCGAACGTGTTAAGCCAGCCTAAATCGCAGCATCTTCTTTAAGCTGGCCTAATTCGAATTGCCGAAGCATCGTTCCGGCACCGACGTCGCAAACAACGCTTTCCTCGTCGATGGTAAACGCCCTTACACGATGACGGGCCATCGACGCGTGTCCCCGTGACAACCGATAAAAATCGAACCACATCAGAGGGGAAAAAACGCGAAAAACTCGCGGGGATTTCAACGACGAAGATACTAATACGGTTCTCTCCGCGTTGAAATCCTGGCTTGGTGACGCATCTGATTTGGCGTGCACTGCGTTTGACGCACTTTAAGGACAGAGAAGGTACTGGGTGACGCCGATTGGGCGTTTAGGGCCCTCGTGGTGCTAAGTTCTATTGCAATTCGGGGGATCCTGGAGGGAAATGCGTTAATGGTGTATTGTAGTATATTCTTGGTTTTTCGAGAGTTCCGTGATGAATTTTAAGGAAGGAAGGTTTGAAATTCGTAGGAAATTTGGAAATTTTCCTTGAGAAGAGAAACATTTGGGACAGTATTTTGAGAAAGAGAATTGTGAAGATTTCAGAGGTTTCCTTTGGGAACAGGAAAATTTAGAAATATTCATCAGGAAAGGGAAAAGGGAAAATCAGGAATTTTCCAAAAGAAAGAAAAGTTTCAAAATGTCATAATTCACAATTTCTAAATTTCATAATTAAAAATTTCTCAATTACAGAATTCAAAATTCCTAAATTTGAAGTTTCTCATCCAAGACAGAAGAAAACTCAGAAATTTCCTCTGAAAACTAAACACACACATACAAAATTGACCATTTCTCAAGAAACGTGAAAATCTTTACCCCCAAGGAAAAGGGAAACAGGAAAGAGATACAAATTTACCTTTCAGAAGAACTCCGACATTCTCTCGAAGAGAAAAGGAAAATGTTTAGAAATTCAGTTTACGCGTTTCCCATTGAGGGAACGGGGGAAACGAAATGAAAATGCGAGATAAGCAAGAAGGAAACGGGTCTGCGGACGCAAACGCAAGGCAAACCCGATTCTCCGGCGCAATTTACGGGCAGATCCAAGGGATGCGCGAGATTCTATCGGTTTTCGTGCCGGGTTCCCTGGGAAATGCGTCGCAAGATGGGGGCGAACCCTCGTTTTCTATCGACCGTCGTCGAGAAACGAAGGCTGTTCTTGCAGATACTTGCTGCAGGAGAGAACCTGGGCCGTTGCCTGGCTGCTTTCAATTTTAACGGGGAAACTTTGGGAGCGTGTAAAACCTTTCAAAGTGCAGAAAAGATGATGTAAACTCGACGCGGCGAAACAGCGATAGAACTTCTATTGCAGTTTCATTAAAACGTTACGCGCGACGATAACAATTACTCGTCCGATGCGTATTTCACTCTCTGAATCACCCGTTGCAAACGTACAAAAGATAAACAAGCACATAAAGGACAGATAAAAATAGGTTAAAAAAGAAACATAAAATAAATTTTCACGTTAATGGCAAAAAAAAAAAAAAGAAATACAGAAACACAAACAGAATAAATTATCGTGTTCGCGGTGTGAAAAGGACACGATAAAATGAATTTCATATTCGTAAATTAAACGCGACATAAAAGTGCAAAAATGGGATAAATTACATAAAAATATTCTTAAAAACGACGAGAACGCGAATAGAATAAATTGTCAAGTTCACAAATTAAACGCGACAGAAAAAGCCACCCCAAAAGTAGGACAAATTTCCGCGCTAATAGCCACAGAAGCACGTAAAAACGTCCAGAAAAAAAAGGGAAAAAGAAAAATGCTAATAAAATGAATTTTCGCGATAACGGCGATACAGCTGCTAATGACTTCGCGAAAGACGCGGCCGTCATCGATCGACACATCCCGAAGCACTTAAAATAACTTGGAAACCTTCGAAGCGTTCGCGAGGCAGCTCTCGTTCGGCATTCATCCGCGCGCTCTATTGCTATTCGACGCAGAATTCGACGCTCGCGACGCTAATGGATCCGACGTTTCGATAGAGAAGAGGCTTGCGCAATTTTTCGCGCGCGCCAACAGTTTATGCAAACATTCCCTCTCGAACCCCTGAATCATCCGCGGAGTTCCTCGGAGTCGAACTGGGTCGACGAGCTGCCTTTTCCCTCCCGACGATCATCCCGTCTCGCCCTCTCTCAATGGACTATTTCCTTCGGGGGGGAGAAAGAAAAAGAAAATTCTAGTGATACGCGATGGAATTCTAGCGATGGAAACGATGGAATTGGAGCGAATCTGTTCCCCCTTTGGTTTTTCGTTCTTTTTGTCACTTGAGAAAGACAGGGAAGCTAGGGAAGACAGTGGAAAAGGGGAAATAGAACGAGGAAGTGGCGTGTCGCCAACAGAATTCGAGCTGTTTGCTGTCTGAGACTGACTGACTTGAGATGAAATCGAAGCTGTAACGAACGGATCGCGTGGAATTATTAAGCGATTCTTTTTACCTGAATGAATCGCGAATTTCGTGAAATGTATTTTTCTTTGTCATTTTTGACAGGGTTTGTATAGTTTTTTAGTATTTATCTTACTTACTGGGGTAAATCCATTAAGTTGTAGAATCAAGTAGAAGATCAGAAATATTTAGGAAAGTTAAATTAGAAAAATAAAAAAGGAAAAAAGATAAATTAATAGGAATTTTGTATAATTTGTATTTCTTTCTATTTTCAATACAAATTTATACATATTCCATAGTGGTATATTCTTTAACAGCGGTTCTGTATATTTTCCTACCTTCGGTAGAGATTCCTTATATTTCCCGGAGTGGTAGAATTTTACAGAAACAGACTGAGGGAAGAGGGAAAGAAATAAGACAAGTAATGAAATACGGAGCGCGTGAAATGGAACTATAATTTCGTAGCGGAATGACAATTTCCCGCAAAATTTCCCCTCTCGCAAGGCTCTAGACTCTGGTCTGGCTTATTATTCAACACGACCTCCGTTGCATACAGAATTCTCCATGAAAATGGAAGTTTAAAAGACCTTCGAACTTGACACCAACTTCGAGGTATTCGAGTAGAAAGATTTGTACGATTGAAAAATTCAACAAGATCGTCTTCTTTCGTACAACGTAACATTACGTTCTTCCTTATCAACTTTATCTACGTATCGATCGAGTAAAATTCCTCTTTACCGGAAAACAGCCTAATAACGTTCGTTTGCTCGAATTCAACAAAGTGCTCGCTGTGCTTTCTTTCGACGTGCTTACCTTCTCACATATAATGCAATCGCAGCAAGTTCTTTAAGTGGAACAACCGAATCGTCGTTGCAGAAATTCAACGTGAATTCTACGCGTAGATACGAGTGCTCCAATGGTAAAGTTGCGGAACTGCAAAAACTTCATTTTTCAGCAGAGAAGCAAACCATTTTGTTAATTAATATAAAATCACCTTTACACTAATTTTACCCCATTAAAAAAAAAAAAAAATAATAAATGTAAACGGTGTAAAATTGACGGACAAATTCAGCGCAAAAGTGATTTTACATTAACTGACAAAATAAATTTCTTCTATCCTGAAGAATGAAGTTCCTGCAATTTTTGCAGTTTCGCAACTTTTCCATTGGAACGTCGGGACACGAGGTTCGAGTGAAAAGTTTCACGGAAACGATTTAAGGTTTCGAAGCTCGTTAGATGATCAGTTGAAAGGAATCGTTATCCACTCTGCAAGTATCTCTTGAATAGCTCGTGTTTAAAAAAAAGAACGTGAGAAATATTCTTCCCCAAGATTCTCAATTCAATCGTACCGCGCAATTGGCAAAATACTAAAGGAAAATAAAATTCGTTGAAAATAAAAGCTCAATTTATTTCTTTTCATACGTATTTTCTCACTTGATTATTCCATTGTATCATATCGCAGAATAGCAAGAAAGCAGAGGTCTTCTTTTCAGTTGAAAGGCGAATCCTCTTTTCCTCTTTTTTTCATTCGATTATTCGATACCGCGAGCGATCAATAGAGCCAGCGATATCGTTATTCCTATTTACGCTCCATTGAAATGCATTTTTCCATGAAAGGTGAATTCACGTGTTCCAGAGGTGCATTAATTTCATCTGCTGGTCGTGTCGCCGGCAATTGGAATTCGAATTCTACCGCCACGATATTGGATTACTCGAACGCTTCGCGGCCGTCGCACGTGCGTGAATTACTCCTCGCGGTTAACTAACGTTTCAATATATTAACCGCAACGCGATATCGATCTATCGTGCAAAAATCGATCGATTAATCTGCAGCTATGTTGCTGTATCGACGGATCGTCTTATCCGCAGCTTTCATCAGGTGTACGGCGAACCTTGACCTGGGTAAAATGAAATTTCATAGGTACAGGATCTGTGGAAAGTTTGGAACCACTGTGCGTCGAGTTAAGCAGAAATTTTGGAGAAACAAGTTTAAGAAACATTTGAACTGAAGTGCATTGCTGTTGAATTATGCGATATTATAAAATTTTAAAAATAATGCGAGTGTGCAATTTTTCAGATTAACCCTTTCGCTGCTGTTTGAATATTTTCTCGCCTTCTTGTGTCCTTGGCGCCTATAGGCGTTTTCAGCGACTTTTGGCACACTTTTTTCTTAATTTAACCCTTAATTTTTCCCCTCTGTGCGCTTCCTCCTTAATTTAATAAAATGACAAATTTTTCAATTT